GGGTCATGAAGTTGGTCTGTGTGCTTTCCTTCTGGGAAGGAGAAATGCCTGTGAAGCAGGCAGGAGTTTGGTTCTGTCTGCAGTAGGGGACGGGTAGTGTAACAACTGTGTCATTTGTCAAGGAGCTGTGCTGGGGAGTTGTGCTGAACTTACTCCCTGCAGTTCTCACTCAGAAAAAAATGGGAGAGAGACTGATTTCTCAGTTCATCTCCCTCCTGTGCTGCCCTGAGGGCTGCACCGCATGGCACTACTCTGTACTGTGTGCTGGAAATACAGCCGTTACAGACCCCTGAGTGAATGTGACTCTGCTGTTGGGCAGAGGTTTCTTTAGACGCATTCCAGGCCAGTGGAGCCTGGAACACACACTCCTCTTTCCTGCTGGCACAGGGCACCAAGTGCTAGCTCCTGAGGCCTTGCTCAGAAGTTACTCACTATGCAGATTGCACTTGGACAGGTTCCTTTGGGAATGATGTTTCCTATGAAAATCACTTCCATCTGTGTGGTGGCTCTGCATGAGGCTGCAGTCTGACATCCTCCGCTTCCAAGCCCCTCATCTGCAGCATGAGGGCTGGTCACCTGGGAGGGGAGAGACTTACCACTCCGTCTGTCCATCCACAGACGCAAAACCAAATGAGATCCTTGGCCTTAACTGAAACATGCTTGCCTGGCTACTGCCAAAGCCTGCACACCATCACCTGTGTTCCTGGAAGAGCAGTGTTTCCTCGGATTTCCTTAGAGATCATAACACCATGTGTATGTTTTGCTTTTTAACCTGAATCTGAACATGCCCTGTTACATTCTGACTGCAGTTGAGACCATTTAAACTCCTGAGTGGTGCTCAATGCTGTTGTTTTGAATTGACAATCACATCTCACTTTTATTTTTAAAGGAAATTCAGTTCAAATTGATGTTTTTTTCTCCTCCCTCACTGATGCCTAGGGAAAATTTTGAATGCTTCCCCATCACTTTTCCCACCAATCAAGGATGGAAATGCCCATCAGCAAGCCCTGCAAAGTGGATTCAAAGTCACAGGCTGCACCATTCATTTTGTCCTGGTAAGTGTCCTCTTGCCTAACATTGAGTAAGTTATGAAAAGGAATTTGCTTTATTCTTTTCTTTCTGAAGGCAGAAACAGGAAGAGGTAACAGGAATGTGTGGAAATCTTGGGATTGTTACCAGTAAAACCAGGAAGATCTGGGGGTTACATTGCATTTGTAGTTCCTTGAGGTCCCATCTTCTTCCTTCATATTATGGATTTTCAGTTTCTCCTGCTCTCAGCAAACTACACTCTGAATCTTCTAGCCCATGTCTCTCTTCCCACTATATGCCCTGATGTAATGTAGGTCCCCATAATGGAGGTGGCAAGCCTCTCCAGATGTACTTTAAGCCTCCTGCACAAAACTACACATGTGCTTGCCTAGATCTTTCATGAGACTTTCTCTGCCCATCCATAGCCTTCCTGAGACAGTTCACCAGCCTCTTCTAAAAGACTCCTAATATCCACATTTTAGGAGGAATCTAGTCCAAAAGCAGTGATCCACCAGGAGCCAGTATCTGTGAAGGTGGACGACACCGAGGATACACTGTCAGAAAGGGTTAAAGAAGCCGAGTGTCGGGCTTTTCCCATCGCCCTGCAGCTGGTGGCCAGTGGAGCAGTGCAGTTAGGAGCTGATGGTAAAACCTACTGGAAACAAGAGAGTCAAAGTCTGGGTCTTCAAGAAGAGAAGAGAGACTGCACATCCTCTCTCATAGCTCTGGAGCCTCAAGAAAATGATGTGGTGTAGCCAGTTTAATGAGTGGCTTGCTCTCTGCTCATCTTTCCCTCCTCCTCCCTGCCCTCCATGTGCTTCTCTTTGTAGGCATATCAGTGTCACAGGTTTCCATTCTGAGCTGTGATTCTTTTCCCTTAGCTTGCAGCTTTAGTTACACTCCTTTTGCAAAATTGGCGGTGGAAGCCAAGCTATCATTTCAGATTTTGAATTTCTTTTTGTTCTGTTTTTTCATCTGTAAAGGACGTACTGTGTTACAAGTCAAAGAGGGGGCTTCAGCTGTAAAAGTGGTCTAGCTTCAGAGGGAAATTAATTCTTCCAAGGGATCAATTTTTATTGGCTGCATCACATTGCAGAGCACCAAGAGCTTCACAAAGCAACTACAAACAGGAACCATGCTGCTGCAAGAGGGTGACCAGCTCCTGTTGGATGCAAGAGGCCAGACATGTTGGGGCAGATCAGAAGTGAGGCCCAGCCTGGCACGGTGTGGATTTGGGAGTGAACGAGCACTAGGGATGAATGTATAGTTCTGTGGGAGGAGGTGGGAGCCTACAAAGACCTCATCCTTGCGATCCCCACCACTGTGGGAGCGCCTCACGGTACACTGGAGAAGCGGACATGTAAACATGCACCTCTGTGGGAGCCAGTCTAGTGAGCTGCCAAGCAGAAGATCTGAAGGCCAAAAAGGCAGGGAACTTTCAGAAGGCAAACCACAATGAAACAAACTCCCTTTCACAGATTGTCAATATGATGTAATAGTGCATACTGAACATACATGTAGACACTTTCCCCTGCTCCTTGAAAGGGAGGGGTGCATAGACATTCCCAGAATTTCATATTAAAACATTTTGATCTTGAGGGATGAAAATTTGATTAGAGGGACTAGAAACACTGGATTTCAGGCATTTCTTCTTCCTTAATCTTTGAAATCAGCAGAACAAGACATCCTCAGCTTAACTTGCAGTAGCAGGAAAATCTCAGTTTTCTTTGTTGATTGAATGATTGGCTTGGTCTAGGGAGTCGCTGCTGTCAAATACGGCTTTTGCTGTGGAAGTTTTTTTTTATATCTGCTGGAATAATGACTTGCATGCAAGTAACAAATCAGAGGAAGAAAGCTAGCTAAGAAGCTACTTGAACAAACTAGAACAGAAGTAGCCAGAACTGAATTTTCCAGAGGAGGGATCACTAACAGCCATTAGATGCAGTGAAAAAAATATATTCTTCTTTTGGTATTACCTGTACTGTACTAGTAAGGGGCATACTGTATATCTCGCTCTTGGCTGTATCAGACTCTTTGAGAACATGAGTCAGCTCCAGCTAGAAACTCTAAATTTTTCTTTTTTTTTTTTTTTTAATGTGTAGCTAGTGGCGTTTCAGGAGAGGAGAAAGATTCAGATCCCTCCTGTAAGCTTTGCCATTTATGTACAGAAATCTGTATTTGTCTCTTGCACTCCAATGACTGGAGCAAGGAACATGTATTTTTCATGATCTGGGAGAAATAGGAAGAACTGTAACAAGGCAAGATTAACAAATGTTTGGTATATATAGATAATTTTTATGATAAACACATTGCTTAGTTTGCTTTCAGTCTGTTGTAACTGTGTAGTAACTTCCTGTTGTATATTATTTGAATTGCATAGCATGCATGACTGAACGTTCCAAACTCAACAAATAAAACGTTAAAAGTGAATAGGGTGCTAGTTATTGTGCTCTGATAGGTCTCCAGGTGATCACTATGGTATTGAACAACTCCTTCTCTAATTGCGTTCCTGGGATCCCTCTGAGATTGGGTGTGGTGATAGTCTATGAATCTATTTAATTCTTTTTACAGAGTGGTAATTGAAGCAAAGCCATCTAGCCAAAGATCTAGTTCACAATAAAATTTCTTTTTATGCATTTGTAGAAATGCTGATAGGTGCTTAAATCCCATTTGTCATCAGCCTTAGATGGCAAAATACCCGAGTCTTCATCAAGCTGTCTGTGATGGTGTGGGGTATAGGCTTTGCAGTGCCTGGGTCTTCCGCTGTTGACCTTGCTGGCAGTGCTTAAACTGCTTTTAAAATAATGCTTTATTTATTAACTGTACAGATACTGATTTCACCCCTAGTAGTCTTACTCCCTCTAACATGTGAGTAAATTTAGGTACAATTTCTTTTGACTTGTAAAATGTTTATTTTGTCATGACTAAGGCACTGAACTTGTGCGGGCTGAACCCCTCCCAGAGCTGGATGCACCTTGCATCTTTTGCATTCTCACTGAGACAGGCTGCATTTCAAGCCTTGGTGGGCAGTCTGCCTGCGGGGGAGGCCATTCTGTGAGAGGGCAGGTTTGTAAAGAAAAATGCTGGGATGAAGGCTTAGCTTTTATTCTTTGCCCTTTACAAGCAAATTAAATCTGACCATGTCATTTTCCTCTGTATTTGCTTGAGCTTTATCTTCGGTGACAAATGATGACAGGAATATTTTGTCAGCAAGTTTCTTCATCATGGACCATCTGGCCACTGAAACAGTAGTCACCACACTCCACGAATCATTACTAACTTATGCAGGATTGCACACATCTGTAACCTCACAAACTGATTTACAGTTGCTGCACTGTAGACGAAGTTAAATTCTGTTTCACAAACTCCTCCTCCAGCTTATACCCCTGGTAAAGGAATTCCAAGGAAAGATTTTGATATCTAATTTTTTAACTTTATTAGACTTTATTTCAAATCCAAATTGAGATTTTGTCAACATGGAAGCACCATAAGGACATCAGTGCACAGAATACAAATCAGCTTTCTCTGTGTTAAAGGGGAGCTCTAAAACATACGTAATCAGCTTCAGTCAGATGCTTCTGGTTTGTATTTGATTATTTTAGTAAATACATCAAAATGTTTTCACAACTATACTAAAACATTAAGAGAAAACCGTGTGTTTTTTCACAAGAGTTGAGCTGTGCGAAAAAACTCATTGTTTTCAGAATGATAGCATTTACTGGGTTTCCATCAGTATTATTCCAGGTGAAAATACTGTTCCAAAAATAAAGGCACTTAACTTTAGCAGAATTTCTGAAGAATGTCTCACAAGCCAAGAACACATTTTGTATCTAGTCCTAACTCCCTTCCTGCTCATTCAAAAAAAACCCAACCCAACCCTTTTGGTTCTGGACAAATCTGTAAGGGGAATTCGTATGGGGATTCACATGGGGATGCTCGAAGGCAAATGGTCAGCAGACATTTAATTCTGTTTAGCATCTGATTGATAGTAGGTCCAATATTTGAAATTACGGGATATGTCCAGAATCTGGGCCACACAAGATCTACCACCATTAAAACAGAAACTGTATGGAAAAAAATCCATTTTACTATGTGCAGGAATAGTTAGTGTTTTGGGAGGCTAGCTTTTCTTGTTTTGGCTGGAGGTTTTTAGTTTTTTGCCTTTAGCTGTCTCTTCCATTTTACTAGTTCCATTACTTTTCCTCACAAACACTTCACAGCATATGAAAAGAGGATCCCCTGTTACAGCCTGTATGGTCTGTTAGAGAGTAATACTGATGTTCCTAAATTAATCTCAGAGCTGCTCAGATCTCTCTGTAACCAACTGAATAGGGTTTTTTTTGTGCTAAGAAAGTGATTGAGAACCGAAATGTTGGCCAAGGAAGTGATTATAATTAGGAAGCATGTAACAGAGCCATTGCTGAAACTACTGAGAACAGCCCCCTGCCTTAGTATTCCTGTTTGTGGCTTTCTCCGGATTTTACTTTGAATCTTTAACCATTTGAGTGAGAACATGACACGGTAAACTCTATGTTGAGGACACTTTGTGAAGAGAATAGAGCATGTGTGTTATTAGGCTGTGACCTCAGTTTTGATCAATTAAGGCACCCCAGCTCTCCCATCTGAGGACGTTGGCGGACACGCTGCTCCTACTTCCAGTAGATCTTGCCAGCTTCCCCCACCTGTACGGCCCCGCTGGCGACAAGCTGCAGAGCAGCTGGGAAGGCCCGGTGCTCGGCCTCCTTCACCCTTTCGGACAGGGTCTCCACCGTGTCACCAACCTTAACTGGAACTGCCTCTTGGAAAATGATTGCTCCAGCATCAACTTCCTCCTGTAAAAGCAATAGCCAGAAAGTCTGTACGGTTGAAAGAGGAGGGAGAAGGGGGCCCAGCTGTATGACAATGAATGCAATCCAGCTGCCTTGGGAATCTGTTTATCATTACGCTAATACAGGAAACAGGAATTTGGGCTAGTGTGAGGACTGCAGAAAAGGTGCTGGCACTCACACTGGCCTGTGAGGAACTAACAGAAGTTAAGTATAAGGTTCAAAGAAAAAGAGGAGGTAGGCAGAACACCAGTGAGTAGCATTTCTGCTACAGAAAACAACAAAAGCCATGTTAACTGGGGACATGACAGGCTAAATAGGACAAAATGATGACATTTCAATTCAGAAGAGTGAATTAGCCAAGCCTTGGCACAGGGCTGGACTAGAAGACCCAGCAGATCTTTCTTTTGCCTGTTAATGAGGCGGATCCCTGCTGTTTAGTTATTGTTTCTCAGTACGTTGCCACACAGAGAAGAAACCCAAAGTCATATCATGGGGAAAGGAATGCAATTTTTCCTTCTATCTGGAAAAATAGTTTTGTCTTTTTCCAAGAGAAAGCAAAAATCATGAGAAAAGATTTCAGGAGCAGTAGAAAAGGGGAAGACAATCTGAAGAATGCAGCAGAGGAGGGGAGACTAGTCAACCCTGAGAACTGAACAAAATGGTAAAAATGCTCCCTGAACTGATAAGAATGTGCATCTTCAAGTTGAGAGGTCTCTGGCTTTTGTTTTCTTAGTTTTTGACTAACATAAATTGTTAAGTTTTTCTCTGTTCCCACAAACATTGGATTACTTCTGAACAAATCTAAGCTTCTTGTGCCATTTCCAGTGTTGTTTGTTGGGTTTTTTTCTTTTTCCTTTTTTCTTTTTCTTGGAAGCAACAATAAGGAAGGTTGTATAATAAAATCTAAGAAGTTGATGCTGTGTAGTAATAAAGATTTTGGGTTAGCCAAGGCCTTATATGAACTAGTACCCCCACTCCAACTGGTGGAAGGCAGCAGTGGGATGCTTAGGGAATAAGTTAACTTAGGTAAAGCTTAAACTCCTGTATAGACTGTTCATTTCAAGTTCCTTCTCCAGGGACAGCAAACTAAAGCACTGTATTGTCTAATGATGTTATAAATGAACAAAGGAGAAAAGGTAATCAAACGTGATGGTATACGGGTGTTCCAAGCAAGCTCTAAGGTGAAAAATCTTAAGACTAATGAATTAAAGGAAGGGAGAAGGAAGTACTTACAGCTACAAAGTGTACAGTACAGCCTGTGACTCGGACTCCAGCTTGTAACACCAATTTGTGGGCATTTGCTCCCTTAAAAGAAGGCAGTAGAGATGGGTGGATGTTCAATATTTTTCCTGGAAAATTATAAGTGAGGTCATTGTCTTTTAGCATTCAGCCTTACCAGAGTGTTCAAAGTACCACAATCAACAGAGGAACAAAATACATTTGTGAAAAAGAGTTTTCACGACTTTTGCGTATGTTTATTGTTTGATGATACTGACAGATAACCAGCCCAAAGCATTTCAGAAAAATCACAGCAATCAGTTACGATTAATTGCATGGCTAAAGCATATTTCTCCAGTGACTAATAATGATTAATTTTTTGGATGTAGCTGTCCTTTCCCTTGGCATCTTGTTCTTCTCTTCTTTGATCACAAGTACATACCTCTTTCTCACAAACCCATCACCCTGAAAAAACTCAGTGCAGTTTCAAATGACATAACAGACCCCCCTGTGACAAAGCAAAAATTCTTTAGCCTGGACTTTTCCTCCACACCTGTTTTGGCTTAATAAAAGACAACAGCTGCTCATACAGGAGCTCTTCTCTCTGTCCTTCTGAAAAGCACCTGTCTACCACTACTACCTTCCATGCGGAAAGTTGGCTGGAGGATCTTGAAATTGATAATGCTCTGATGCTCAACCAGGTGCGACCGTGGTTATAACCCTGGGAAGCCTGTACCTTACATTTCCCTTAAAAGAGACAGTGTATGCCTGAATTCCTACCTAGCTGTAAAGTAGGGGAGAGTGGATGCCTGTGATCTCAGGGTCTCACCACTACAGCAATGCGACAGTTAAACCATGAGAAAACTTACTTTCTTCTGGCAGACTTCCCCTGTCTGCTCCTAATATGTCTGTGACAAATTCTCCCGCCCATTCTGGACCACACTGAAGTCAAAAGGTGCTTGACAGCCCTAGATCTTCTCTTAGATTCAGTCCAAACCCTTACAGGATAAAAAAAAGTGGCCATCGATACTATTTATACCACAGTATGCTACACCCACACCGTCTCTGCATGCCTCCTGTTTAGGAAGACTGTATGTCATAAGGATTCATTGAACGCCAGCTAAATGCCAAGCAGCGAGACTGAGCTGCCATATGCTGGCGGAGGCCGCGGTGTACCAAAATAGAGGCTTACGATTTTGCAATGTGAAATGAAGGCCATTTCTGGCAGCACCATTCGAAACCTGCACTCTCACTGCAATAACTCATGCAGATACTGACCTGTGCAACTTAAAGAGGCAAATGTATTGACTGATCTTCAACAGTATCCCAAATGTGGTTTGTATCTCAAAAATATCCCTTTTTAAGCATCAGCATCTCCCTGCCTGCTGCTTGAGCAAAAGGTATTTGGGACAGTGAGCTGAAAAAAACACTGCACATCTGTATGAGTTTCCCCAGTTTCTCATTACAGCACTGTCGGAAACTGCTCTAAAGGAATGTGGCTTTCCGTTTGCTTGTTTTAGTTTTGTTTTTTAACCTGTCCTTTATGTTAACATTCAAAATTAACATTTCAGAGCCGTTAAACAAAGAAAGAGTTTCACAACTAACTTCATGTTCTATGCCCTTGTGACTGCGAGAAAAAGTAAGAGCTTTTAAGACAGAAGCAACAAAAATTGATTACTCCTGGATAATTTAGGGTAGTCAGTGCCTAGGCATGGCTGGGTCAGAGTTTTACAGCAGGCTCCTGTTAGCTGGCACAGACTGCTGAGCTGAACTGAATGTTTGAGCTCACATCTAAGACCTAATTGAAGCATACTCTTGGTCAGAGCTCAAGTAGGTACCTGTTTTGAAGCTCAATTCAGTGCTGGACATCCAAAAAATCAGTTAGCCATCCTGTACCGAAGAAAGTCTTTTCCTTTGCTCTCAGGCCACATATACATGTAATGCAAATCCTGCACTGTGCAGGGTGATCATCAGCGCTGGAAGTGCTCTGTCCCTAAATCAAAGGGAACTAAACTCATCCTTTATTTGTACAAGATCTCTGCACTAGAGAAAGTTCTCTTCCATCCTCTACACAGATACTCTGCTCAAAACGCATCTCCTGTAGTGAGGGATTCCTCTCTCCTAACTGCAGCTGTCTACAGCACAGACATTTACATCTTCATCTTCCAGACTCCATAACGGAGAGAAACAAGAACAATTCCTCTGACTTTTACTTTAGCTGACAGCTTTAGCATAAAATGAATTGCCTCCTAGGAATGCCTGGTTTGCTCCACTGATTCTAAAGAGAGGTTTCAAAAGTAGTTCAGGTGTAAAAGGTCTGTATCACAGACACACCCAGGGTAACACAAAAGTCACCATGTGAACAATAAAGGCTGCCTGGAGAGCTGCAATGTATAGGCTGACCAGCCTGTAACTGGTATGAGCAACAACTAGTTTTAAGTAACCATGACTGAACAAAGCAGAGCAAACAGTGAGAATAGCAGCTGCCTCTGTGTGATTCAGGACTCTTTAAAAGAAACAGAAAGAGATAATAATAATAAGAATGCAACTACTGGGGGAGAGAGAGCAGCCACTGAAGTAGGCTCTAACAAAGACCTGGAAAAATTGTAAGATGACCAGAATGGAGACACTGTGAACACTTTGGACAAACAAGAGCTGAATCTGCTTGTGAAACATGCCACCCTTGGATTCAGACAGCTCCTAGGATGTCTGACCAGAAGATTGAAGGTCTTGTTAACAGGAACTGCATACTGCTGCTCAGTTTTGCAGTTTTATATGCAGCCAAAGCAACTCATCTGTTAGGGAAAGGAATTCTCAGTGGCTGAATGCTTACCTCTCCCCAGCCAAGACCTACTGCTTAGGCAACAATTTGCCCTGCACCTCATGTTTGCAGAGGTCTAAAGTCTTCACAGCCTTATTTTAAAATATTTTCTAATAAATCAAAGACTACAAGATCCGCATTTGCCCCGACTTCCTTAAACCTCTGTGGAAATGATAGAGGGAAGGGAAAAAATACTGCCTTTCTCTTTCTTATCCTTTTCCTTACAAGATGGGAAGAGTCTAGTTTCCTGCAAACCCAGAACTAATATGGTCCCTTTTCTATATTTTCCCCATTTTCTTTTTCCTGAGGATAAGCTATAAAGTTACTGTTTTTTAAATGCATGCACTACTATGCTGTGCTTACCTTCCCATTTTTTGACAAAAGGACCTGACAGTATTCGCATAAATCCAGCCAGACAGATCAGTTCAACTGAGAATTCTTCAAGGACTTTGTCAACTGCACTGTCAAATTCAGTGCGACTTTCATACAATTTATGGTCAATAACCTGTGATAACCCAAAAGACAAAGAAATATGGACATGGTGTTAATTCAATCTAAAAGCCCTAAGTGCACAATGAAATGGTACCCTGGAGTAATAAACAAAAACCAAGTAAATCTCCATGTGTGGCTCAAGTTGGGTGCACATCCACAGCAAGAACAGTTCATAAATACATGCAGCTGACAAACACACATGTAGTCTTTATTCCTATCCATACAGAGCAATCATCAGAATAAACGAGGGTTTTTTTATTAGGCCCACAGCTGTAGGCCCTGGCATTTCGACACAATTTAACAACCTACAAATCTAGGTCATTAAGACAACCTAAAGCCTTACAATGATTTCACTCAATTTAAGGCCTCTGATAGTTTTAAGCAGTTGAACTTTGCTGAAAATTATATCACAAAACCTTGAAAGAAAGGCTAATCACAAACCCATAAAACAGTTCCTACTGCATAAGGTCAATATACTTGAAGTATTTTCCATTCAGGATACATGCCCTAATTTAAGCTACATAACTTAAAACATCCACAGTCTTTTAAATAAAAGTGTTAATCCCTACCAGCTTTACCATGGTAGTTTTGAAAAACCAGAACTGGTTAGCTGAAAAGGTGGCAGAGGGCACTAGAAATATAGCCCAGCTCAGCACTGGGCTGAACTCTGCCAGAACTACCAGGTAACAACTGGCAGGGCATGTACTCCTCACTGCCTCTGCTTCACCGCTCACTCTCCCTCTTAACCACCAAGACCAACAGCTCTCCCAGACTATATTTTTTTCCTCATTGTATGTTTGTTCTTCCCCTGCATACCATGGACATATTCCACTTGTGATCTTTGTACTCCCAAATAAGAGACAGCAGCTTTAACACTCAGATCCTGCTACTATTAAAGTTAATAACAAAGCTTGCCTTGGGACCAAATCTTCCCTATATCTGCAGTTATCAGTGAAAAGTGACTGTAAAATGCTCCTAAGTCAGAACAGTAGCATTTCACATCTGTAATACAAATGACTGCACAAAGGGCAAAGTAATGCAGCACTGGATCCAGTGACACTAGGGAAAACACAGTTTGCTTTGAATGAATCCTGGAGAGCCTGAAGCAATGTCCTTGGAGTCAGTGGAAGGTCCCACTGAGTCTGACCTCTCTATTTCATTAAAATTAACTACCATGTCTGTTTAGCATGTAATTTTAAAATTAAATTCAGATAAAATAGCTTGTTACTTTAGTAACTTTTTAAACTGTAACCGTGAAAGTTTTGCACTGGTTTAATATAATGACTGTTCCCGCAACTGTCAGGATTGCTGGCTGGCAGCATCTCTGAGAAGGAGAAAAGGAAGTATTTTGCTTCCCATGTTAGGTAGTTTACCCAAGGGCACAAGTTCATGACAGACCAAAGAAGAAAAGCTAAGGCTTCCTACCAAACCATCTCTTACCCTAGTAAAACTCATTATCTCACAGTAGCTTCCTGCTATAGTCAGAGCTAATGATGGCTGATTTTAAAAAGATGAGAAATACTTACCCTTGTAGGAATACCAGCTCTTTCAGCTTTCCTTAACCCCTCCACACCAGCTTTGTTAGAAACAACAAGAACTATTTGTGCGAAACTGGTGGGCTTCTTTGTGCTATTTATGAGGGCTTCCAAGTTTGTGCCTATGAGTGAAAAAATAATTTATGAATCTCAAGTCATTCCTGGAGAATAAATACAGTTAACAGCTAGAAGAGGGTTTAAATAAGCAGCTATGTGGGTGAGACCCAATCCAAAAATCACTGATGTTAAAAATAATCCTTTTTTAATTGATCTTACTGGGAGCTGAATTTGACAGCTGGAGGCTACAGGGCTTTTACTAGCAATTAAATTTGTAAACTGTAATTTATGGTATTGGAATGATGGTCTACTTAGCAAGTGAGAATACTGGAAACCCTAGGAGTGCCTATATGGCAAGAAGAAATTCTGATCTATTTGTGAAATAATGCTGCTGTCCCTATAGTGCAATGCAGTGGTTGCTTGCATCTGGAGACATGCAGAAATTTGTAGATAAAATGAACACAGATGCAATTCATAGCCAGTTTGCAGCAGAGGTTAAAGATCATCCTGTTTGTGATTGAAATTAATCCAAGGGCAAACACTATTCTGTCTGTTACTGAAAGCCTGTTAGAACCGTATCAGAGCCTCCGTGGAGAATTGCAAGGACTTAAAGAGATTTTATATCTAAGCTGAAGTTCCTTTTTCAATAGTCTGTTTTACACCATGGTAAAGAATATAACTCTCACCTGTTCCAGAGATAAGGACAGCAACCTTCACTTTGTTTGTTTGGATTTTGCCTTGGATATGGCTGTGCACAGACAGGGACCTATTTGCTTGCAAGGCTCGAAGCAGATTATGGACTTTAACATGGGCAGAGCCTGAACACGTACAAGAAAAAAACCCACAACAAAACAACACATAAATAAAGGGAGAAACAGAGAGGAGAAAAGTACCCATGAAAAGAGATTAATGGCACTGCTTTACTTCTCATTATTTATTTATAGTTCTGGTGACATCTGACATTGCTAAGCACATGTTCTATGGACTAAGACTGAAGTTGTGAGGATGTTATTTTAATACCCTGTGCAAAAAAGCCATGGAGGTGTCAATTAAGAGATTTTCAGCTAACCTCCATGGAGAGTCACCAGCTAAGGAATTTAGCTCTGCTTTTTTTTTTTTTTTTTTTAAGGAAAATAAAAATTTAATAACCTTTTTGTAGGGAGACAACTTTCCCGATCAGCCAGGCTGCCTCGTGTCTCTGTATGTCCTTGAGGACCTGCTGAGCCAGCTCCTTCTGAACTACCAAGACAGCACCGATCCCACAATTAAATGTCCGAGTCATTTCCTCCTCAGAGAGGTTCCCTTCTTTATGGAGCCAGCAAAAGATTTCAGGAATCTTCCAGGTAAGAGCATCTGAAGAGAATTGAAAATACAAATGAGGAGTGGAAGTCACTACCAGTGGACAAATACTGTAATTATTAGAGTATTAAGAAGCAAGATCTGGATAGAAAGCATGGACAAAGTCCCACAGCAGCATTAGCTTGACTGAAACCAGCTTCCATGCATGGAAACAGGATGTTTTTTCCTTCCTTACTGAAAAAGACTTGGGAACAGAAAGAAGTATCACTCTGGGAGGAAATTAATTATAATGCTCCACTGTAATCCATTAATCAGTAATTCAAAATGGGTTCTGAGGCAGCCTTTGGAAAATCTGCTTCTTGAAGGTGACAACTCTGCTTCTAGAGAAACTATCGTATCAGAACGATAGCCTTAAAAACTGTCACGAAAGTCTCACACTGCCCCCAATTCCAACAAGGTAAAGATGATTTACAGCAGCACGAGAAATGCTTCTGGACATGCCACTGTAAAGGAACTCCAAAGACAGTAAGTTTCTTTCTTGTCACGTTATCTTTAAAATGGTATTATCCCCATTTATATATACTAGTGTCCACTGTTGGCAAGTGGAAGAGTGATTTACATGCAGTTCTGGAGTGCAAACTCAATATCAGTTCCCTTATTTTATTCTATAACCCCATGAACACTGATAACCTATAGTATGTCATTCACCTTTCCATACTACACTTCCTCCATAAGTGAAATACTCTTTCTAGCATACGTGACAAGATTGTGGTGAGGATTAATTAAGGTATGTTGAATAGCATGAGATGTACTTGAGCTAGTAACTATATCTGAATACTAAATGAAGACTTCATGAGTATCATTTAATTAGCAATAATTTTGTAGGTTATCGCAAATGGTGACAGCTCACTTTGGATTGCTTTTAAAGTTGTTTTATTTTTGCAAGTATGGATAGAGTTTCCTAAAAATGCAATACAAAACACCATCAGGGGAAGTGAATTCAATGGGTGGCAGTCTTAAGACTACAAAGTGTTTCAGCACAAGGAAAAATTCAGCAATAATGAAGAAAAAACCAAACATTTCTAGACAGGCAAGTCTAGCTCTTACAGTGCAAGTCAGTTGACATGGCCCCACGTGCACAGGTTTCCACATCAATCCATATTAACATGAGGATGTTTCCATAGCTTTTCTTTTTATCTCACCTAAAATGACACCAAAGGACTCTGGGAGAACTCTGGGGATGTTTTCCAGCAAGCCCCCTCCAGTGATGTGGGCATAGGCTTTCACATGGCCTGAGCGAAGGACAGGCAACAGAGTCTTACTGTAGATTTTAGTTGGGGTTAACAAGAGATCTCCTGTAGACAAAAAGAGGATGAAAGAAGACCAGTTACAGCACAGAAAGAAATGTTAATCAATATAAAATTGAGGAAATCTCAAAATATTAATTTGCTGGATACCAGTGAGCATTGTACTACAGAGAAAACCACAATGTTCTACATTTTTTGGCATATAATTAGTTATTTATCCCCCTCCCTTAATTTCTTTCCTGCTTAAGTGATTCACAAGAAAAAAGAAGATGAGAACGGAATAATTTTTTTAGTACCTTAGAAAAGTTATAAAAGCAAAGGCACAGACAAAACAATTGTGTGACATTTGCCTGTTCAGAAGTTCAAGTTATAATGCAAAAAACTGCATTATAAGTGGTACCTAATGTCTGATCACCGGAGACACCAACTGGAGAAGAGAAATCGAACGATGACTTTTCCACAATCTTCCTTACAAGACTGTACCCATTGCTGTGAACCCCAGAAGAAGCTACTCCAATAACCACATCTCCATCAGCAATTCTCTCCAGCTGGGGCAGCATCTGCCCTCGCTCCACTGCACCAACAGCAAAGCCAGCCAGGTCATACTCTCCAGGTGGATACATGCCTGGCATTTCAGCAGTTTCTCCTCCTATGGGAACCAAAAAAAAAGAGAAAGAGGGTGTTGGAAAACCAATGGCACCAGTAGGCATGCAATTTTTCAAAGTTTTAAACTCATAAGGCATTAACAGACTAGGTTTTTTAATTAGATAAACAAACACTAAAAATAATTAAAAACATGCTTGTCACAGGCCCTTCAATTGAACAAGCAATAGCAAATTGGGAAAGAACATTTCCTCCCTCACTCTGACAACCAGTATAAAATTGCTGCGCATTCACATTTTAAAATCAAAGCATATATTTGGTGCTTCCTATTTCCAAATTTCTGCCAGGTTTAATATTCTCTATGAAAAACCTCCAAGATACAAGAGGTACAAGAAACCCATACAAGGACATCAAAGGAACAACATAGCTATTGGTCTCACTTGCCTTCATAAAGATTTTGCATATAGTGCTATCTCTCCTGCCACTCCTGCCCACAACCTGGCCCTCATTATCACGCCTACTCTGAATATCTAAGGTTTATAGAGTGTTTTGGGAAAGCACCTCTAAAAGAGGACCTCTCCTATCCATCTGTGCAGATGAACTGTTGTCTAGGCTATTATCTTATATCCTGATTATTAGAACATCCTCTTGCTTTGTCCTGAAAACCACGTCTTATTCCGGCCGACCTCATTCAGAGTGCAGTCTGAAAAGGTGACTTTCCCAGCTTGCACAGAAATGCACAGCACAGCTCAGACAGCATTCTCTCTCTCTCCACATACCCACACTGGCTCCCCTCCTGCCCTTTGGTGATAAGCTGATGGTCTTCACTGTTGAAGACCTGTGTCCTGCCTGTCAAGGCTCATTCAGTCTAGAGAGGGGAACTTGCTGTGTTTGGTACATTAAATGAGCATTTACTCCTCGCTCCAAAGTTTTCCAAACAGGCATCTTCACACTATCCCCTCGTGTTGGGAAGAAACTCTCCCCAGCTATCCTCACAGCCATCTCATTATTCTCCCTCAAACCCCTCTGCTGGTCATGATGTCTACAAGAAAACAACTTGACAATGATTAAGTTGCCATTATATCATGACCTCTGCCCAACATGCTGACAAGTACTATCTCATTTTTCTTTTGCACTCACCAGGTTTCATTCAATACAGAATTCTTCTGTTTTCAGGAAGTGTCCCCGAGGGGCTCCAAATTAACCTAAGCAATGGTGGAAGCTGCTCTTGTCCTCGGTACTTAACACTACTCAATACTAGATGCTCTGCAAGTTTTTCCAGGTTTCTACATTACAGTGCTACAACCAACTTTAAAATCAAAGATAATTTGCTTAGATACATCTGTTTAAATCTGTATTTAAAAATGTTTGTGCAAAACCAAGCATGTAGATAAGCCCTTCAGTACCTCGCTATCAAGTGGTGTGATGAGCTTAAGGTGGTTGAGCTGAATATTCAGCTACTGCAGAAATGCAAGGTAGGAATTTAGGAACATGCTTCAAAAAAGGCTTTTATGAGATGATACTATACAAAGACAGTTCTACACACTATGTGCCTGCACAGTGAAATGAATGAACTTGGAGCCCAAACTGAAATTTATTTCAATGATCCAGGCTATGGAAAAGCATTTCCTCCTTAGGTTCAGAGTTACTGCATCATCTCTGTCCCTTCTTTTCTGAGAGTGCCAGAAATCTGGAGAACAAATCATGGTTCTTTTATTTATGAGTCCAGACTTATTTTTATATTAACACAAAAAGATATTTGCTAACCCATTTACAATTTTGAGAAATTATTTTCTGGTAATTACTTTACAACATCCAAAGCCCTTTGTAGTTTTAAAGTCTTCCAATTGGAAATAAAATCTTGAAATTTCAGTAAGTAGTTTCATAGCAAGATTTCACGTAACATATACTTATGCTGAAGTATGAATGGTTTGATTATATTTGATGAACTAAAAGAACACCTTAAGACAAATATAAAGCTGACTAACAGTTCATGCAGAAAAAATTAAACCAGAACATAAACAGCCTCTTGTTCAAAGCAAAATGACACACACTCACTTAGAAAAGACTTTTGTTATTAACTTTCTTACAGAATTGAAAAAATGACAGAATTACTGTATTACCAATTATAAAGTAAAACACCTGAAATGTCATTTTTAGTCTCAAATTAAAGGTCCTTTTTGAAAAATCATGGTAATTCTCCATGCCTGTTTTTATAAAAAAAGAAGGAAAACCAAAAACTATGTGAGGAAACTGAACTTTCCGGGTTTCATTACTTTAAAATTTAACCCTGTGTTGTACTCTTTTTATAAACTAAAGACTTATACAAAAGAACGTATTTTTCACTGACCTAGAAATATTTTTATCGAGTTGAACAGTGTTAAAGCTGTATTTTTTAAGATTCAAGAAGTGAAGTATTGTATCATTTTCATGGATAACTAGATTACTGTACACCAGAATACATACATAATTTGTTAGTAAAGTGTATTATGTACTTGTATGATAGCGCTGAAAAGGACAATGTTTAAATTTGAGTCTTAATGTCTTGGAATATGCTCATCTCGGTGAAATAAATCTTCAGCGAGTCTTCAGTAGACAAATAATTTTTCTATTAGTTTCATAACTAACAAAACCTGGTTTCTCTTATGTTTCTGTCCTGTGGTTAACTCTGTGTCTTAAATAGTGAGCTCCAGCCGACACTTTTGTTGCATTCATAAGGACATTCTCAGGCTTTCTAGTTTTTTGAAGCTTGTGGGAACACAATAGCTGTGAGATCTCTACCTTTCCTGTCAAATTTGGTTAAAATCAGCCAAGAGGTTCGAAGGATATTATGTACACACACAGGGACATGTACATGCACAGTAACACATACAAATCTTGTTTCTAGGGGAAAACTTAAGGATTTCCTTTAGGATAAAGGATAAACAAACCTATCTGGCATGTTTTAAAATTTACTTGAAAAATACAGAGAATTACAATACATGACTTGTTAGTTTTCTAGGTAGCTGTTATATTTACAAAGTTAAATGAAAAGATATGAATAAGAAATTTTATATGCAACTTCCTGAGCTAATGGCAACATTTGTAGAGTACTGTCTTCTTCCAGTGCGTAGATATTATGTTCTTTGAAAGCAAAGACGTGTGACGCTTTGGGTTTTTTTCACTTCTTTTAAGATTCATCAATAGAGTAGGAAAACCAACACATTAAAACCAATTATAGATATTGCATGAGATTTTTCATATCCTTCAAAGAAGAGTGTTCATACCCAAAAGAGCACATCCTGCTTTTTTGCAAGCTTCAGCTATTCCTGCAATGACACCCTCAGCCACTTCAACATCAAGTTTGCCACAGGCAAAATAGTCAAGGAAGAAGAGGGGCTCCGCTCCTTGAGCCAAGATGTCATTGACACACATGGCAACCAGGTCCTGACCTATGGTGTCATGTTTCTTACATGCTTGTGCAATCTGCAAAACACAGCCAGAGAACCCGTTGGTTAGCTTTGAGAAACTGAAACACAAGCGGAGAGTCTGCAATGGAAGAGGGTCGAAATCACGCAGTTCCTCTAGGTGCTTTTTGAGGAGCAGCTTCATTTACTACCATCTCTGTGAGCCTCTCCTAACATTTTATTTTAGGAATTGTTACTTTCCTAATTGGCAAGCACAAAAGGCACTTTATGGAAGAGGACTGAACTGGAAAGGGTTTCATTGCAGCTTGCGTAAACACAATAGGAACCGTATAATTAAATGTTTTTCCTCATGAGTAATCTTTTTGAGGGTGGAGATTCTACCTTAATGAAATGGAGTCCCTGATTATGTACTTAATATTAAAAATGAGTTATTTTAAGCATCATTTCAAGTATGGCTATTTACATGCCAGAAGCTAAACGTGTATTTAATTCTTTTGCCTGAAGGAGGGCAATTTCATTTTTCCTTCCCTTTTTAGGAAGACAAATAGTTACTTTTAAAAGAGAACTGATATTTTCTGTTAAAAAAATTTCCTTTCTGTGCTATTTTCCTTCCTTTACATGGATCTTCACATTACCTTGAGTTTTGTGCCAACACCATCAGTTCCAGATACCAAGATGGGATCTTCATAACCAGCTGCTTTCAAATCAAAGAGGCCAGCAAATCCTCCAAGTTCTGCATTGCAGCCTGTGAGCCAGAAAACAGGAGAAAATAGTAAATTTTTACTTTCAGGTGTTTCTCCAGGATCTCCAACACAAATTCTCTATGATGTTTGTCAACATGAGTTTGCTTTGTCACCAGGAAACTTTTCTCTGATGTTTAGAGCCTCTTAACAGAGGCATGGGAGCTCCTAATTGTCTTGCATTTGCTTTCTTTTTTCTTCTTAATTACCTAAGGCTAAAAATCCAAAACTTTGTGATTGAACATTCAATAATTACTGTGACTGATATATTTCACCTTTGCACTTAGTATTTTTCTGAAAAACAGAAAAGGAATTATGGTAACAGATTGAGGCCCACTGCTTCCTGGGAAAGGATGATAATTAGGCATTTTCCAACTGAAATTTCTTATCTCTTGTTAATACTGCTACTTATAGTATATTAAGACTCCTTGTTCCTAAGACTGGTTGTGATAGGTAAGTACGGTAACCTTAAAACTAAATTTGGTTAAATCCTAAGAGTGAAACAAACATGAGTAGAAAATACTACGAATGCTAAGAAATTACTAGTTGTACTAGTGTGTGTGTATGTATCTATATTTTTATCTCTATGTATATCTGACATTATTTGAAGGTTCTCAGTTAATTTGAAGTAAAAGGGTTATTTCATAAATGAATGATACCTTAAAACTATCAAAAGAATTACAAGGACTTGCTAGAGCAAGATGTGCCTGAGATCACAACAAAAGAAGGATGAATTGATTCTGTTTTAACCAAGCAAAAGATGTGTCTTCCCTACCTATCTCAAGCAATAGATAGTATCTCTGAGGAATTCTGCATCTTATAGACCTTTCTAAACATTCATCTAAAAAATCGTATAATTCACTGTGCCAGAAATAATAATTCATGCAATCAAAAATAGCAGTAAATGGTAGGATTTTTGCTTGCATTTATCCTTTTAGAGTGCTGAACTGTATTCTCTAATGTTCATGACATTCAGGAGATACAGTTTAGAGTAATTTTGGGAAGAAAATCTGTAAATTTAAGGAAGTATGTTTTGAAGAAATCACAGGCATTCGCTTACTGCAGATATTTATTATGTAATCTAGAAACATGCAGAACACATAAATATGAGCTTTTGTATCAAGATCAAATGAAAAGCCTCATTGCCATGAACTGACTGAAACAGGAATAGAAGGTACAAGTCTTACCTGACCTTGATGTGGCTGCAGCCAGGGGTTTAATTTTCTGAACCAAAGTATTCCCTGCTGCAATGTCTACCCCGCTATTTTTGTAAGTCAGGCCTCTGAAAGAATGTTAAAAAAAGTTACGGCAATTGATTACTAAATGCACAAAGATATATTTTAAAATAGTAGTTACTTCTTTACATCATTGCATCACTAAGGGGATTAACCATTCAGAATCCTATTCTGCTGTCAAGTACCACTATTTTCCCACTTGTACAGTAACTTTGCTCATATAAAATGATTTCTAAATATTGCAATACTCATTTCAGGCAGGTTCAATGGCTCAGAGGTTAATGTTTTTGCTGTTTGGAACCTGACCTCACACATATACCTGAAGATAAGGGAGTATTATCCCAAAGAAACAAAACTTCATGGATTTGCGCCACAGAGAGTCTGCCATAAGCAGTATGCAAATAGTTCCAGATATCTTGAATACAGCATCAGAGCATCAGTATCATATGCCATCCAGTCAAATACCAAGATAAAAAACAACCAAACAGAAAAACCCAACCCAACAAGGTAAAATAGGTAGAATAATGGATCTGATTTTGCAAGGTTTGAATCCCTGGTCCAGATACTGAGGTGTCAGTAGTATAGTTCCTATGCTCAAAACAAAACGTATACAGAAATGCACTGCTAAGTCTGAACACCTCAGCACCATGCAGGATCAAGCTCAAGTTACCTTTTCAAAATGTAAGTATCACATAAATCAGTAGTCCTCTATGATACTTCGAGAGTTTTACAACTGTAGCTTAAAGGTTGTCTCTCCTTATCACCTGGAATGATACCACCACAAAACCAGCCACACCTCTTTTTTACTTAAATGGACTTTCTATTAAAGTATATATTTTAAAGTTTATTTAAAAATACCTAAGTTCCTAAGGTCCATTTTAGCAATCTAGAAAGAAATGTACATAAACTCTGGGTGTTTTTTTATATACAGCCACACCATAAAGAAAACACACTTAGTACAAACTAGTATATGTACCTTGTCTGTCCCTACGACTCACTGGGGACATTAAGTACCATCCCATGTCTACAGAAGGATGTTTTCATTTTGGAGACAGTGAGTTAATGACTTTTAATTACTAGTTGCACCAAATGTATCTCAGTCCAGTTAAGCAATTTTATTTCTACACTGTCAGTGGCATGAACCAGGCTACCTGGTGCATCCCTATTTTAGGTTCCTACCTATTTTAGCTCTCTTATTGATGTCATTCAGTATTAAGTTTGAACTCTAAGGGTGAAACATGCTGTGGATTAACAAGGACAAATACAACAAAACAACTGGCCAAAGACCGGTGCTACCAAGAAAATACAAAGGTATCTGCACTCACATTATATCACTGCTCAAAAATTTGCAAGAGGAAAATAATTATAAGAAGCAGCTGTTCAGCCTGTGAATAAGACTCAAGGAAATACTAGCCTGCAATAACAAGAGACCAAAGTCAGGCCCTTTTAGTCTGAACATGTTAAATATTCAACACACTTTCACCTTATTTTTAAAAGCATGGTATCTACTTTGATTCTTTAAATGAATCTTTAATTCTTTGAATTTTCTAAAATATTGTTTATTAAATAAATATTATGGATAATTTCACAAGGTGAAATGCATAGGGCTTAATCCTGCAAAGCTGCCAAGAGGAGGTGCATCCCCAACTTTACAGAGCCAGCCATCACTCTTCCTTAACTGTGTGCAACACATAGTCCAAAGTGAAACACGCCTCACTACCTGTTCTTCCAATCTTAGGATGTCTGAGCAAAAAGCTGGTGCAGACCCAAGGCCAGTGACACAGGTGCTGACTGTAAACGGTTCCCAGGAGTCTCCTTCATAAGCTAGGGATCCTCCCAGCATACAGGCACTCCAGTCAAGAAACTTGCTGGCTATGGCCTATGAACTAAGTGTTTTAGAGAACTGCTCATTGAAGTACCTTCTTCTGTTGCCTCACACACTGACCTGATTTTTTTCTACTACAGTACAAATACCAATTACATGTTTTCACATAAATTTCTCAAAAGATGCACAGTACTTGAGAGAGAAAGAAGACTAAATATGAACACCCTTGTTCATTTAATAAGTTTATTGATCACAGCTTTACAATATACTAATCAGTGTACACTGTCAGCAAAAATGGAACTCTTATTAATATGCTTCATAGACTACAAAATAACCTATTATCAAAAGTTATGTTTTGAGCTAATTGGAGCATAGGCAGGCAGATATGCTTCATATTAGGTAAAAATGAGTCTAAAAACCTGCAAGAAGCTCTCAATAACATTAGAGGGACAGTAGGACACACTGCTTTAAAAAAAAACCCATACCCATATCACCTCAAGACTGCTAAACTGAATACCATGAAAATAAAAGGAATAATAATAAAAAGGAGTGATAAATCCTACCCACGTTGTTAGCCAGCTATTCCATTAAAATGCATATCCCAACAGGGTAGGTGTTTCAAGATAATTTTAACCATTTCTAAAAATTTTTAAATGAATCAATAAAATAGCTCAAACTTTGTATATACATCTCATTATATTACTATTAGGCTTATGGACAATACAAATCTAAAGCAAAAGCTATGTTTTAAAGCCCAAGAACCAGAAGTTCACCTTCCCTAAACAGATATAGCAGACAGTAAGACACAAGTTATTCCTATATGCTTGTCACTGTAGTTTAACTCAGACTTGGGAGAATAAGAATATGGATGAGAGAGCCATCAAAAAGCCTGCTCCTTCCTTGGCTGGTCTTGCTTAAATTGCTTACAATGATGGTAGTTAAAACTTGTCTAGAGTTATACCCAATATCAACGTCAGTTTATTAATGTAAACTGGTGATGTATTTAAGTCCCTTCTACAGCAGTTATTTCTATTTCAAGTATTTAAAATATCTACCTGGGTTGTCTCAGGAAAGCTATAGCCCGATAACCAATGTCCTTTCTATAAATGGCACCCTTGAAGTGTATGGCTGCTACTCCCTTGTTGGCTTCTTGCAGTGCTGTCATTAGATCCTCTTTAATAGCAGTTACTGTAAGGACTCTTCCTCCACTAGTCACCACTTTGCCATCCTTCAGGGCTGTGCCTGCATGGAACACCTCCAATCCTAGTTGCTTAGCCTTAGGAAGTCCTGTGATTGTTGTTTAAGAAAATAAATGCCGAAAAAGCAATTGATTAGAACATTCCCTATTACATTACAAACGAATAACTATTGAGCACTTATTGACTGTGTCTAGAAACCACAATCAAGCTCAGTGTGATCGTGCTGGGAAATAGGAATAAATTTGTAAAAACTACATTTTGAGGAGAGACAAGTCTGCTACTTGTATGCTCAGAGACACAGAAAGAGGTATTTAGCTGAAACATTTGCATACAACATCCAATTCCAGCTGGATTTTTATACTTCACTGACATAGAGACCACAAAACATACCAGCATCAACATCATGTAAGAATCAGTGATAGCCCAGAACTACTTTACTGTAACACATATTAAAGAAAAGCTACAGAACTTAATATAGTGTGGAGAACTGAAAATGCAACGGGTGCATTACCAATAAACTTTGATGTGTGAAAATTCAGTCGTCCATTGCTGACCCATAACCATAAGATCTACAGTTTCTACGAATCTGAGTTACACCGATTCACCTTCATCTGGCAAAAGAGAGAACGGAGAGACCAGGAGAGGAAGCAGAATTCTGCAGTTTCTCCTGCTATATTTACCTGTTATTTCCAAACCCTTGGGATATGTTCCTGGATACCCTTCACTAGCCATGACCACTGTCACAGCTGCACTGTCTTCAAACCAAACTGGCATGGAACTAGACAACTTTTTATTGATAACCGCTTGCATAACTTCATACAAATCAGTTTTCAACAGTGGAAGAATTACCTGCAAAAATACACATTAGCAAATTAAAGAAAACAATGTACATCGTTACATTTTCTTCACTGAGCTTTTAAAAATACTAATGCAACTGTAAAAATAACATTAAATAAGTATGTTCATACACTGTATTTTCACACAGATATACATACTGTGCCTAATCTATGTACCTTTAAAAATACTCTTCCTTGAAGACAATTTCTATGGGTAAAAGAACTGCTACATGTGGAGGGGAAAAGGTAGAGGCCAAAGAACCCTATTTGTTCTGAAGAATAAAAATGAAGGGTTTTGTTCCAGTTGTCAACAGGGATTCAGGAAAAGAAGTGTTCACTTCTTTAATAACATAAAGAAAAATCCAAATCCGTTCCAGAAAAGACAGGAAAGTGCTGAGTTTCGCTCAAGCTTACCCTTGTAAATCCCATATTTGAGTATAACCTGCTGAAATCTCTGGAATGGAACAATTTCATAACAGACCTTCTGTCTTGAATAACCAAACCAAACATTTTAAATCTCAGTACAATTAGCTAATTATTCATCTGAAAGTTAAGGATAATGGTAGATGGTAACTGACTTTTCTTCTCCCATAATGCCAAACTGTATCTACCTACAAAATAACTCACCTGACATTCTGGGTCACCAAATCTGCAGTTAAACTCAAGAACTTTAGGTCCATCTTTGGTAAGCATTAATCCAGCATAAAGCACACCTAGAATAAAAAATTGTATAAAAGACTATCTAAGCAACTGCATAGGTCATTTGTTTTGCATCTATGCATAATAGTCTTAAAAAGGATGCCACCTGTGCTCATTTAAAGGTAGGATGTTAACACTTGAGGAATAGTTGTGGTTACAATTTGCAGCTTATTTTCAAATATTTTCTTTTCTGTTCTTCCTTACTTGATGATTATCCACCATGAGTGAAATGACATCCATTGATTTCAGTGGACTCTAAATCAAGCCACTATACCAAACCCAGTTTCCAAATAAATCAAAGTTATCTTCCTTAACTTACAGTGTGAATTAGGCCTACAAAGAGGACAAAGTAAAAAAAAAAAGTCTTTCTCCTTATGATTAAAACCCCCAAACTTATGTACATACCAAAATAGGGGACACCTTCTTTCCTCATGCCATCAACAGTTTTCTGAAGAATAGTATCTCTTATTTTCTCCAGTAAATCTTTAGAAATCTAATAAAACAGGATTAGAAAACAGTGTTTGTAAAAAGGGAATGCATGATTTTTCCCACTGTGATGGCTAGTGTTTTTAAGAGCCAAGCAGAACACTTGAATGGTCTCTTGCTCACTCCAAAATGTTTCATGCAAAGGAAAGCTAATAGTTTTTTCTCTCTCCACAGACAACATACCACAGCATTAAGACAACTATTTGCATTTCTTCAGACACTTTTCCATTCTTAGATCTACATGTGCAAGCAATCCCACTGGCTTCACTGGAACAAACCATTTGCACAGACATACTGAAATTTAGATAAGGCCTCCCAAAGACAAATCACAGTTGGAAAGTATAGTGATGAATGATCAAATTTTATTCAATAAACAAAATTAATAGCAGTATAGAGGAACAAACCCCTTATTTTTTTGAAATAAAAAAAGAAAAATCACTGGCTATGACATAGGTGAAGAGAAAGCAAAGTAAGTCCTTTTGCAAACAGAAGTTACTTCCCAAACAGAAACCAAACTACCTTAAGCTACAGCAAAAATTCCTCAGTAGCTTAGTTCAGCACAAGATAAAAATGTGGTTTTAAGCACTTGGTTCTAATGATCAGTATTTCATAACACTAAAAAAAACAAATCATAATACAAGGTTGCAGAAATAGCAACACTTCCACCTTCATAATTAAAAGCATTTCAGTAGAAATATCCTCCTCTTTAGAGAAAAAAAATTATCAAGTTATGGACTTTACTTGACTATGTTTGTTCTAGGCAACTCCTTCCATCCAGGAGAGTCCACTCTCTCCTGTTCATCATGGTGGAACTAAAAATTCACACATGCTTTCAATACTAGAGCTGTAGTACAGCTGTAGTGAAATGTCTCCTTATCAATACATTTTTACCTGAGGTGCTGGGGAATAAGCTCCCATCCCTCCAGTGTTAGGCCCTTCATCTCCATCCATTAATCGCTTGTGGTCCTGGGCCGGAGGCATGGGAGCAATTGTGACACCATCAGTGAAACATAAGCACTAGAGGAGAATAAAACAAGGAGAATAATTAAAATTCCAGTGTGTGATTAAAATCAAAGTGCAAAAAGTGCAAATATATTTGATGTTCAGTGTTGCAAAAGGATATTTAAGAGTATAAATTCTGTCTCTGTGATAAAACGAACTACAGTATTCTAAACATTTCCCTTTTCTCTCAGGAAGCAATGTCTCATTTTGTATGACCTTCCTACAGAAATTACCTTTAATAGAACATATGAAAAATTATACCATCAGTAGCTGTACTGAGAAGAAATACTCAAAAGGTTAGAAAAAAATTTAAATACTCCATGACGGAAGCTACTTCTTCCCTCCCCCTTCCTCCCCCTTGACCTGGAAGGAAGGCATTAGATTCCTTTCAAGATTTCCTTTTCCTTGTTGATAAAACTATTTACTTTGGAATTATTTATAAATTACTTATACAGCAGATGTTTTTATCCTCAACATCTTCATAATAACAAGCCTGCTGGCATCCCCTGCAACTGGATGATAATGTTCACTGTCTGGACTACTGCTAGCAGTACTCAAAAACATAATGCTAATTAAAAAACAAGCAAGGATTCCCCTACAAAACCCCAAAATGCCAAAATATTAATATGTTAAAAACTATGGTCATTTGTGGAAGGTGAATTATTTTGTCAGGCAAGGTAAGCAGTATGTTTTCTTCATTGCTGTCAGTCATCATAGAAAAAAACCCTGTAAACTGCATGTTTATATTATTGTGTTATATTACAGTAAGTCTGCTAGTATTTTAAGGATTAATTAAGAGCATTACATATTTTCCACCAGAGAATGAAGATCTGGATAACCCCTTAGTTCCTAAAAAGGTCAAGCCAACCAGGAATGAATAAGGATGACCAATATCTGCACATATAATTTCTAAATATCGGGCAGGAAACCAGACTATGCAAAGATTGGCAACAGTTGGAGATGATCGCTTACTTTATAAATACCACCACCTCCAAGATGAATGTTCACAACATCCAGCATAAGTCAATTTCAGCTCCAGGACTCGGGAACCTGAGCTGATACTTGGCTGTTCTACTTTCTGTGATGCAGGTGTCAAGTTGCTCTGCCACTTCAAAACCTAGGCTTTCATTCTCCTTTTCTCCTTCACACTCTGCTAATAAAATCAGATATACTTTTTTAAATGAAGGAGCTGAATCAACTTAAAATGAAGGAGATGTTCTCTCTACATCTCCAGAGTAAACCAACACTGTCAAAACATTCAACATCCTTTGGTTCCAGGTCCTTCACCCCCAGGTGCACTTTCACATTGCAGTATCTCTGGCAATGAAACTGGTTAAAGAGGATCCTGCCTGCACCTGTCTTGAGTTGATTGTTCCCTTGCTCCAAAGGAGTTTACTGCTCCCTCATGATGCAGTTCAACATATTCCCTTCATCAGCAAAGCTGATAAAAGTAAGTCTCCATCCTCCCTTACTCCCAAGCATCCCTTGCCTTGCTGTGCACTTCACCATCCTGTTACTTGTACTGATTCAAATGGCACTAGGCTCTAAACCAGAACACAGAAAACATGCAAGGTGGTGGTGTTGATTTCTTTGAAAAAAGGTCTTTAGGTTGTAGCTTCATGAGCAGGTAACCAGTATAACTGAATCAAAGGCAAAAAGCAGTGAAGAGGTAGCAATGTGGAGGGGAAGGGACATCTTATACTGTCTTTGCTGTCAGAGAAATCACAACACGGAACTACGTGCTCAGTGACACTCAAAATTTTTAAGGTTTGATTTTTTTTTCCCCATGTGGCAACAGCTGATTACTGTTTGAGTTATTTTATTTAATTTGAATTATTTTAACAGACTGCAGGAAGTTTGGTTCTTAACACAGCTGTCTTTAATTAATACAATTTTATTTATAAACAGATAACTATTTTTAATTTAAGTAATAAATCCTACACATCCCTGCTGTAGGTACTTCCATAGTGTTTCCTAAATAGTTTAGAACAGGTATAGTCAAAGTGTTACAGTGAGATGCACACTTACAGAAACTTCTTCTCCTTCAAGAAGTTCTTCAACAACAACAGTTTCCCCAGCTGTGCCAAAAGTCTTATCCTACAGTAAAAACAAAACCTCTTTATTTCTGTTTCAGTTATTTTAAACTATTCAAAATGCAACAAGAAAAAGTATTTTTAACACAGGAAGAAAAATGCAGCACAGTTTTGAGACTATTAATCCATTCTCCACCCTGGGTATGTCAGCAATAGTAAAATCTTTGCTCCTCTTTTCTGTTTATTCTTAAATAAATCCAGATTTTATGCTTAAATATTTTTAAATTGCAAATTATATTTATGACTTACTGAGCAATTCCTCATGCTCTATCTTCTGAAGTTTGCACCCATGATACTGAGACTAATAACAATGACTGTCGAGTCTATAATCTGAACTTTTACTTTACAAGAAAGTACAATTCTATAGACTACATTGGAAGCAGGCAATATTGTCATATTCCAATGCAACGTTTGAACACTGACTGCATATTTAGGCAATTAAGAACAACCAACCCACACCGACGAGATAATTTTGCATGTCTACAAGACTCTCTAACATATGGGTTTTTTGTTCCAAGACGCTGGGCCACATGTTAAGACATATATTTGTCCAATAACCATACACAGACATACACACACAACAAAATGTGAGTGCAGACCCTATATTCTGACTCTTGAAATACAAGTGTGTCAGATAACATCTCCTATGATCAACATAGCTCCACTGAATTGTAGATGCTGTGCTGCTGGCACCAGCTGAAGACCTGACCTTTATGTGTCGTATTTTCCAGCTCTATGTTCTTAACTGTTCAGATGACATTGCTTCATTTTGCTTCTCTTCAGATTTTGATGGTCCTAATATATTTTTTTAATATCCTACCTAAATGTATACTTAACTTGAAATAATTCCACTGGCATTTTACTACACATTTAAGTTCTGTGTGACTGGAGTCCTAAAGCTGATGTTGCTTGTCAAGATCCAGCTCAATCACAGTGTTAATATTACAGCACTGTAGTACCTGTTTGATTGCAGCAGCCTCAAGTGGTAAAAAAGGAAAAAAAAAGGGAAAACCATATGGAAATAAATGTGGGTTTTCATTAAGAATGTTTTTATTTCAGCCTACAGGAACTTTGCCTAAGAAGAGTACCCTGCCTTAAGCGATAAATATGACAGAGCTTCATAGCTGTCCAAATAATGGTAAAAGAATTGACGTCTTTTAGCCAAGTTCCTATTACATAGAAATAAAGAATATCTTTGAGACTCTAAGACAGTTAACTTATTTTGTGTAAGAACTCCTCCAGTTAGTGCATGACATTTCTACTCACCTGCATGATTTCAGTAACAGCTTTGCAGGCTTCTTCCTTGTTTGAAGCCACAATTACTCCTTTGCCAGCTGCCAGGCCACTAGCTTTTACAACTAAAGCAGGGAAGTTTGCACTTCAAAGACAGAGAAGAGAGATTCAACAGTAAACACTCTGTAGGCATTTTGAACATTTCAATAGTTGAAAGATCAAAATACTTATCAGTTTTCATAGCAACCATTTTACCTTATTGAATAACATACAAATAAAAACCAGGCTTCTCTTGTTATTCTATGCTTGTGAAGCATTTCTGCTTCCTGGTTTTTTCCCCATCACTGAATTTCATTACTGTTCTGAAAGGTTGCTTTCCTTTTAATAATTTATTGTTGTATCATTTTTGGGTCACCTGGATTGTATTCTCATGAGTAGATAGATCCATCATTTGCCAAGTAAGTCTCCAATGCAGAATTTATATTCGTTGAGAAAAGGAACAAGGGCGGCAGAACATATGACTATCAGATTGCAAGCTGTGTTTCCACAGCAGGCATTTTGAAAAAAAAAAAAAAGCTTGTCCTATATCCTCCTGTAAACTGAACACTGGAATTTATTTTCATTTTAGAACAATAAATAAGAACCATTTAATTATCAGACTTATTGCAGTGTGATAATGTCATGTTAGATTATCCTTTAAAACCTTTACAGATGTTCTATCACAGCCAAAAGTATTGATACAGAAGTAACCATTTGATTGTTTGTTTTGGATACCTAGCACACTGCACATTGCTGTAAAAAAAATTTCTAAAAGGATAAGAATTTTACCTGTTAATAAAACTACATGCTGCTTTAGGATCACTAAAAGATTTCCATCTCGCAGTTGGGATCTCATGACGATCCAAAAAGGCTTTGGTAAAGCTCTTACTGGACTCCAGCTGAGCTGCCTTTGCTGTTGGACCAAAACACCTTACTCCAGCTGCTGTCAAGTCATCAACAATTCCTAAAAATGACAACATGAAAAAATTTTATAAATCACCAGATGATTTACAGGAGTCAGGTAGTCCACGACTACAGATGCACTGATTTGTTGGAACAAGTATGTCAGGAATGGTAAGCCATACAAATCTACCAAGTGCCTGTTCTACCAGATGGGCCTTAGATGCATTCTTAACTGTAATCAGGAGCAGCTAACCCTGCAATATCTGGGGCTAAGAATATATGCGGCATTTGGTAAGAGATGACAATCCCTCCTTGTTTTATTCTAGCTTTTAGCTAAAAAGTTGACATTAGTCTTTTGGGAAGATGACAATTGTTGATCATGTAAAAGATTAAAACAGAAAAATTATCAGCATGTTTATAAATATTTTTTTTTACCAAGTCTCAAATTACTATTGTTTCAAAAAATAAAAATTCCATAGGAAAATCAAAAGCCTAGTTAAGGTTCCTTTATGGAAACACTTTGATACCTCTTTTACTAATCCCAAGCACTTAAAAAGAAAACGAACATCTAAGGATATTTTAACTGTTATATTGCTCACACAATACCCTTCAGAAATTAATTTTCGTCACAGCACAACCCTGAATTTCAGGGAAACTGCCAAGGAGGATCTGTTTCCATTCCTGTTGAAGACATTCAGATACTGTTGAGTGGTGCACAGAAGATGGGGACTAAAATTTACTTTTCTTCCTAAATTATGAAGGCTATGATTTTTAGCTTGCTTTCTCTTACCAGCAGCAAGAGGAACCTCTGGACCAACCACAACCAGCCTGATCTCCTGATCTCTGCAGAACTGGGCAAGTGCACCATGATTGCTGACTGAAACAGCTGTTGAAGATACAAAAGGGCAATAAGACTGCATTCATTACTGTTGCTTAGCACTTATTTATCACATAACACTGAAGAAGCATTTTCACCAGTCTCACATTTTTGAATGGCAGGTCACTGTGAATCTGGAAGAGTGAGGCATACACTAATACATAGACTTACATGCAAGGCTTAGACCAAAATACACCACCAAACCCCGAGGCAAAGGCTGTGGTTCCACATGTATTGTCAACCCACCTTGCTCTTGAAGGTGAGAAAAAAATTTTGTGGTTCTCCAACACTGCCATAGAGTACACTGGTCTCATCTCTAGGAACATCCTATTTGCCAGCACAAGAAGCATTGCAAAAGATCCACATGAAAAATAACTCACAAGCAAAAACCACATTTTTCAGCCAGTCTCTTCCCTGAGTAGGGTCACCATGAAGCTTTACACCTGTTCATGCCAGCGTGGTGCAGGGGACAGGAACAAGTGGCTGGTGGTAGGATTGCAACTGGTTTCTTTTCTTTTTTCCTTCTTTCTGTAGTGCCAGCTAAAAATTGCTGCACTAAACTGATCCCACTGAAACAAAGGGGAATCTGAACATTTTTTCTTACATTAGGCTGAACTTAATAAGGACAGGTGCTGTAATTATGGGTGAGGATATTTGGTCTTAGTTTTTTACAACCATTATCTTTCCATAAACAAACATTTAATATGACGACACGTGGAATGCCAAAAACTGTGTAAACAAAAGAAAAAGCTTGCATGAAAGACAATAATGTCAAGTCTCATGATAAAAAAAATTACGCAACACAGTGCAATTCCACTGCTTTTATCAAGAGTAAATAAAGCCAAGGTCTATAGAGGATGGGAGCATGAACCCAGAGAGAGCCCAAAAAGCAGTGAGCGCAGTCCGGCGTGGATTGGCTGCCCCTGCAGGGAGGAGACTAACGCATCAGGGCATGAAGCTGGCAAAGGGAGCACAGTACAGCACAACACACCCTCTGCGCAGCTGGACTACTTAAAGTTTTGTCCGTAATCTCCTGTTAGTGACCGTACCGTGACAGGAGCTGATGGTCTCTTCCAGCTGGTTTACAGGGAAGTGAGGAGAGAGAAAGGAGAGGCAGTGATACAGCAGCTTCTGCTGGACAAACAGACACAATTCTGTGTTGGTGCCCTCTGAGCTCCTGTCATCCTATATGAATAAATTGCCTGCTTTCACAAGAGAAGCTGCTATTTCTGCCTAAGAGATGGCATAAAAGCAACTATCTGAAACCCACGTTTTGGTTACAGATTTACCCTGTTTGGGTGGAGTGGGGGAAAAAAACAGACTAAACATGAATAAAAATTACCTCCTTGATACCTATTTAATGGTTCAATTATTTTGTTCCACCAACATTTGTAAGTAAGGAGTAGCAAAGGCCTTTGACTTCCATGTGCAATTTATGCCAATTGACTTCTGGCTCACAAGACAGCAGAAACAAAAGCGTAACACCCTTGGCTTTGAAGTACTGATTAACATAAAGGTCAATATTGTCTTTCAGTCCCGTGGGGCTGTTGTGAAAGCAGCTGGAGAACAGCAGATCCTGACTAAAGAGAGTGGGAGGTCTGGTGGGCAACTGAAAAGGGACGATCCCTGTTCCCTGCGAGCTTAATCCATGCAAAGGGGTGCAGGGAAAGGAAAGAGCCCATAAAGTGATTGTGCTTTTCATCCCAAATTGTCTTGCCGCAGGTCTGATCTACTAGTGATATGAACAGTGATTATGGCACGAGATTTACATGTGGAAACGTCCTAGTAACAAACGGAAAGGAATAAATCACATTGTTAATATGTAATTTTAACTTTCCCCCCAAACATCATTTTCCTCAGGATGTAGACTGAAAGGGGACATTCTTGTAGCTGTGTTTCATTTCTCAAAATGACAGCTAAACATTCCTTTCACACTAGCCAGAAGGACCTTGGACCAAGGTTTTCAAAGCTAGAGCTTAAAGTTAAGAGTATAAGTTACACTGAGAGCTAAAATATGATGGAAGGAGGTGTCAGGATGCTAAAGTCCATTCCCAGACATGTATATGACTATCTCTGGATTCAGCAAGCCATTCTGTATGTTTCTGGCATCAAAATTGCCCTGCTAATTAAATATAAATTGAATATAAAACTATATTTAATCACTCAACCTAAATCTGTCTTTATTGTCAGAAACGATTACTGACTCAAATTAACCATGAAAACTTCTTTTGACTTAGATACAGGCAAGGTTTGAAGGATTTAAGGTTATTTATAATTTTAAGCTCACCTTTTTATGTTTCAGAAATCATCTGAGAACCAGAGTTGCAATGCTAATTAAAGGCAATCTCATGAACCATGAAGGGAGAATGAACTTGCAGAGCCAAATCTTAATTATACCAAAAAAACAGGAACAATGGTAGCAGTTTCACAGACGTCTTTGTCCAGGCTCACACAATAGGGCTTACATGCTTCTGTAAAGCTGTTTTCCATTTTCTCCCGAGTTAAAATCTAGACCCCAGTGGTAGGACTAAAGTGCCTGAGCAGGTAAGACAAATCGTTTCCTTAAAATCCAAAGAAGTCAAACTCTTCACAAATTCTAGATTCTTCCTCCCCTGAGGATTTCTCTCCCAAAGTACGTGTAAGCGCATAGTCTAGGAAAAAAAAATTATAGTACACATGGTAGATTTCATGGACCTGGCTCAAGTATTATTATGCACGTGCTCAAATATTTTCCACTGTTGAGGGTGAAGTATTTTTTATGGAGTAACAAGGTGAGAGAAAAGCACAGCAGTTTTTAAAAGATGCTGCTTGTAAAAAAATACTGAAATTAACATTCTGCAGGCCATACAGACTGGCACTGACTCCATTTAGCACAAGGGTAAAGATTTTTGTTTGACTTCCTGGGATGAGAAGGAAAGGTATGACTTTCCTGTCAGGCTCTTCCTTGCGCCCTCTGCTCAGAGGCCAAATAGAACAAAAAACTACTTAAAATACTGTGACTAGTCAAAGAAATTAAGGACAAAGTTATTTAAACAGCCTGTAATTCAGCATTCCAATGGAATTAAATACGATAATTACCTGCTGTATAAGAATCTGACAGGATTCATGTTTCCACATGAGATAGCAACAAAAAAAGATTTTACTCACATAGAAATATATATGCAGAAAATTGATGTATATAATTCACGTTCACATGCTTACGATGTTAACTTTAATTCCGTATGTTATCACATGTTTTAAAGTGGAAACGTAAGCCAGTTGTTTAAAGTACATAATTCAGGATCTGTTATGTAAAGGACACAAGACAGGAGTCTCTGAGTAATTACCCCTGGTTTTGTACTGACTCACTGTGTGCCTCCAGGCAAGCACCTTAGACCAGTATTTTTTAAATGCAGCGCGTAATTTTGGATGCTCAATTTGAAATACCTTAAGCTTGATTTCTCAAAACTAATAGCTATGAATAGTTTCAATTACAGCCAAGCAGAGCTTAACATATTAAGCTAGAAGCTCAGAACAGGCAGTCAGTATGAAGAGAGAAACATTTGAAAAGAACCTTAACTTCTTAAGGTCACTACGACAAAGGAATGAATGTTTTTCTATGGTTGAACATTTCAGGTGAGAAAGTATTCTATCAAAGGTTGTAGGGATCACAGGCCTTCCATGCGCTTCTGAGAATATAATAGTGAATTTAGTACTTTAGGTGCTGGCATTTGCTTCAGGGACTTTTCAGCTGTTCACCAACTAGTTGTTGAACTGTAGCGCCTACCAAGAGAAACCACCACCCCTTCCCTGCTAGGTGCTGGGAGGTGGAAACCACAGCAGCTATCCCTGAGCTGTATTCCCAGAGGAACGTGCATTAGGCAGATGGAGTTTTGGCTGCATCCTCCACCCCCAAACCTAAAGAATTAGGTATCACAACTGAGATCATATAAAATGAGTGGTAGTTGTGCAAGGCTTCGCTCAGACATTTTTTTCTTTTTAACTGCATCTATATGATCTATTTCACATGTCCAAAACCTTAAAAAACAGTAATAATAATAATCTTTTCACATTAACAGCTGTGATTTCAGATCGATGACTAGAACAACTTACTGGCTGAGTTACCAAATTTAAAAATGGTATTTTTTTTTGTTTTACCTGAATTTGAAATTTTTCCATTGTCAGCTGTTCCTGCATTTCCTGGAGCAACATACACATGCTTTACATGTGGGGACTGAGCCAACTTCCAGGCCAGCGCATGCTCTCTCCCTCCACTGCCAATCACAAGCACCTGATCAGCCATTAGTCTGCATAAAACCAGAACACAAGCAAAACAGCCAGAATTAGCCGCGTGAGGTTAGGAAAGCGAGAGCTTCACAGACCACAGTTTTAAGTGCTGGGTGCAAGGCAACTCACAACAGAGATGAATTGTCACTTTGTTTCAGGCAACAATATTTTTCTAAGGGTTTTGTTGGTTTAAAAAAATGTACCTGAAAATGGGTAACTGACTTAATCAGATGTGATATAAACTAAATGTCAAAAACTGACCCGCTCCAGAACACAGAAGTAACCTGCAGGGCAGTCCATCCTGGTTTTCCTTTAGTCAGACTGGCAACTGCTCCAAGTTATACAGAAGTCTGCAATACATGAAAAACCCTTACAAGTGACCAGGCTGTGATTTGTAGCCTATAGAAATTCCTGGAGAATCCAAGTCTGCAAAGGGCAAAGCCCTTCTGATCAACTAACCGTATGAACACAGTATTACAGTGTTAAGAGCTGAATGGGACCACTCAAGAGTTTTTAGAGGTATTATCTGAAAGAGCTCTAAGTACTTCATGAAAAGGCAAGGCTAAGAGCAATGAGACAGGGAAATCAACTTCCAGCTCCGTCCTTCCTTAGGAGAGAACAACCATGAGGCAAACAACAGGGAATACCAGGTGTCATTAATAAAGGAGCTCGCTCTGAGAAGGTCCTGCAGGACATCCACTCCTCTTTCCCATTCCACTGAGTTTTAGAAAAAACACACTAACAGTCTCTTGGCCTGCGGAAAGTAGGTGTATGAACAAAGGCTGCAATTTCATTACAATTTTAAACTTCCAGCAATTTTAAAGGTCCAAAACCTTTTCAGCAGTTTGGAAACAAAATGGTCACAAAAACTACATGAATTGTTTCGCCCTCCGCATGTCATTATCTGTGTGTGTGTACATAACTTACACATATTGGAGTGATGTCAATATTTATTACAATTTTTTCTTTGAGCAGCTTTGAAAGTTAGCCTTTGCTTTATAAGACATACTTACTTCTATGCATATTCTCTACATATTTACTGATGTACGTCACCTCAGAATTGCTATCCCGACAATGATACCACACAGCCAGCAAGGGAATAGAAGAGTTCACTTACACTGAAAAAACCCGCTGGAACTCAGAAAATAGTAAATAAAGAAATAAAGTAAGTACATAATTTATAAAATAAATACATATATCTTTATCTGGAGTTCATTGAAAAGCAAAGGCTAGCCTCCTAAGCTATTCAAAGAGTAAGCTGTTAAGAGTCACATTAGTCCAACATATATAAATTACACACACAAACAATGCCACTGCACTGGTTAAAGTGAGAGTTTTATTCACAGAAGTCAAACAGTCCCTGAAGAAGCTATTCAGCGGAGCAGAAAGCGAGCAGCCACAAATTGGCAGGTGGTCCTAAGCCCAAGTGCACCATGCACTACTTGCAAAAAAGAATCTAAAAGCTTCAAATCTTAACATATGCAAAATAACAATCTAAACCTATAAAAAATGGCTTAAGCATTTTAAGTCATGAGAATAAACAAAACCAGTTTTGTGCTGAAAATGAATTTATTCAAAGGGCTTTGCATGGCCAGCAAAGAGGTCAGATGTGTCCCTCTGCTATACGAATCACCTCCCATTCATCGGGATGAGGAATGCAGCCCAGATAAGAGTTTTGGTCAAAAAGAACAACGAGTCTCCCTGTTGTAATCCCAGCACACGTAATACGCAACCCTTGGTCACTCCCTGTGCCTCTTCCATTAAGCAGCTGGTCATTGAACCTGCGCTTGCCAATGTGTACAGTGCCTCCCAAGGTGAGCTGAGAGAAAAAAACCCAACATAGGATGCAGCTTGAATACACGCAGGTGACAGCTTCATTTCCAAGAGCAGCGAAAAGTCAGATCTCCTTTGTGGTCCCCTCCTCTATGGGAGGACAAGAGAGGATGACTAGCACAAAGCACATCTTAAACAAAAGAAAAGAAAAGGAAAAAAAAAACCCTAACATTTCTAAGGGAAAAGCAAAAAGGCATGGTATAAAGCAGATTTTCAGCCAACTGATAAGGCAGGGGCATGTGCCTCTCCCTCAGGTCAGCTGCTACAGCTCGACTTGAATAAAGCTGCTCTGATAGTTCTGACCCTGGAGAAACCTGTCCTTCCTGAGGACCTGGACTATGCAGGAAACAGCTTCTGCTCTGAGGACCCTATGCGATGCGTACCGTGAACCTGATTTTTAAATCCAAGCCCTCTGTAATAAACTTTAAACAGGAAGAGCCCACACTTGTTTTAGAAGCTATTCATATGCCATTTGCTAAGATATTTTAATCCATTAATGAAGGAATGATTTGTTCAGAGAGTGATACTCTTAGGCAAAACATCCAGTCAGAATAAAGACAAAATAAACATGAATAGAAGGATAAAATACAAAAAATTAACACTGAGTTGTTCACTATGAACTAAACACACTGGAGTTAAAATTTAATTGTAGTTTCAGGCTGGGGGAGACCTATAGCTTTCTAATCAACACTGACAAATATACATGTTGCAAAGTTGTGGAGATGTTTTAATTACAAAACTCTAGGATTACTTACAATAAAAAAAAAACCACGTTGGGGTGAAAATTATCAGTTATGGTATACACATTTGGGACACCAAGTTATGCTAAACCTCTTTTATATTACAATTCAAGCAAAAAGAAAAGATAAAACAATAAGGGACTGGCTACAACAAAGGGATGAATTAGACAAAGACAGTGACATAGGACAAAAGAATGCAATATAAAAGAATAAACATTTATCATGTAGCAGGCAGCTATCCCATACATTGAAGTTAAACCAAACAAGCATGTTTTCAGTGCTGTCCGGAGACAGTCATCATTAAATACTGATTTTTAAGGCCAATTTTATCAATAATAAGTTGAGCTATACACATTACATAATTTTCTTACAAGTACCTCAGAACTGAGTGCAGAGATTTAAACCCAAACAGAGAACATACTTACTCTATCCTACGTGCTGCCAATCTGAGGAAAGTAGTACTCAAGAGTTCAGATGTGCAAAGAGAAAGGAGATAAGCAGACTCTGGTTAAAATGTAGTACCCCTGTCCCAATATTACCGCCCCATTGACGACACTGTGCAGCTAGCCAATGAACGGGAAAGTCCAGCCATTCCAGCTGGGAAGAGGGGACAGAAACTTGCATGCAAATGGTCTCGGAGTGAGGATCAAAAACTTTGCAGAGCAGAAGCAGCACATCCTGTTGTTTCTAAACTTGTAAAATAAATTCTGTCCCATCCCAGGTATTTTTTGCAGTCAAAAACTACTTACTAATCAGATTGTAAGATCTCTTTTTATCTCAAAATGAGGTTATGCATAGTGCTATGCATATCAACAGTATGAAAGAATAAGGTGCATGATGCACATTCATGCTCCATTAAGCCTACTGCTTAAAAATAGTAGGGCAGGCTTGAAGATCCAGTGACACTGTTGCCAGCTAAAGTAACTCACCATGCTGGCAACTCAAAGAATCACTCACTTTTTTTCCCTGAAGTAACATATTCTAATACTACTGTCAGCTGAAAAAAATTAATAATATACAGCAAAAAGTTTTATATCGGAGCAAGTAAATAGAACAAGCCATGTATCATATGTTCAAATAAAATTTAACCATCCTATAACAAAATGTGAGTAAAAAATACGTTTCAGCCATTTGTTTTGAAACTCAGTGTTATTTGTGCATCCCACAAGTGGTATCCTAGCAACTTTTATTTAGGGATGTAGCTTGAGAACTTCTGGTGGCAATCCCAGTTCAGGAGGCTCAAATCTAGTAGTGGCAGCCTTTCTTTTTCACACTGTCATAGAAAGATGTTGTTTAGGCCCTCTGCTGCCCAGCAAAATCTTGCATTAAAAATAAAAATTCCAAGAGGCGACATTTCTTTTTATTTTGTGACTAATCCAGGAGTCAAAAATTTGTTCTCAAAAGACCAAAAGCCATTCACAAGCTAGATATTTCTTCTGTAAGGATTATCACACACTCAGGTTATTTGGAAGCAATATGTGAAATCCTTAAAGATTCCAAAGCACGGTATGTAATTACCTTCAGCAACCATTGTCTGCTATTGTAAAGAAGGAAGATATGTTTGGTTAAAAGATGTTTTAAAATAAAGACAAATGGCATTTCAGGCAAGGGTCTATTACTAGGTCCTTATATGAAGTAAGAACAGGAAAGCAAAAACAAGCTAATCACTCTGTGTATCCAAGAGGAGAGGACACAAGGATTGAGTGAAGACAAGTTGACCTCCAGAGCCTGTCCCTGAGGTTGCCAGTAGTAAGTCAGCAGGGACGAGCATCAGCCTAGAGACCTTTATCCTCCACAAAAGGTAGGGCTCACCAAGAATCTGGGCAACTCTTCCACTAGGTCACGGCCTGAGGAAGGCAAAACCAACAGTATCTGATAGCTTTCCCCATCCTGATTCCTCCACAAGGCATGGTGAGATTTCAAATACAGGTAGAAGTGAGATGAGGCTACTAACTCAGCTGCTGCCCCTTCCCTATTAAGAGGGAAGGGACAGCAGCCATTGACTCTTTCTCGACCTGATCCTGTGCACAGACTTGTTAAACTCAGCTCCTTGGTTGCATTTATGAAGGTAACTCTATAAGAAAATCCTTAAGCAATTTCCTCCCAAGTTTCAGTTTCGTATCATACGTGTGTGGTGCAAATTACCTAAGTATTTTATCTCAACTAGGTGGAGTCTCGTATTAAGCCATTGCTTTATTACATCACCCCTAACTAAAGCAGTAAAAAGGTGCAATTAAAATAAGATCTATGCAATACAGCACAAACAGTAAAGGGTATGACTGGTAGCAGCTCACTGCTTCAGACAGTGTCTTTTTTTTTTTTTAATTAAGCTCCAGTGCTGTTGGTTTTCTCTGTGCTCCATGATTGAGACCTGGGTGGACTGTGTTTTGCTTTGGTGAGCCAAATCTTGAAAATCTGTGTGAAAAAGGTGCCACAAAACAAAGTAGTTTTAAAAGATACTTTTTTGTGTCTTAGTTTCATCAAAATCTGAGCTGAGAGTGGAGTGACAATGGTAACACATAGGTATATTTAAAATGTTGCACTGTGCAGCTTCCGAAGTGTTTCAGCCCTTCACGAAAAGGTTTACTGCTCAAGAAGGTTTACACTCTGCTGCAAAAATTTACACATGCATTAATGCTGGACCCATTCATATACCTTGTTGTCATTGAAAGGGGATGTCGTGAATCCAGACACACTCTCCCTTTCCTTGTACTGGCTCTGGTGCTGACTTGAGCATAGTCAATTCACTGAGATTTCATAAAACTAATCTGAGGAAAAAAACACCCGAAACAATCCAAAACAGATTTCTGTAAGCTGAACTGGCTTGGAGCGCAATCAGCCAAGGTCTAAGAGACACTAACAGTGAATGGATGGGACAACAGAACTGAGCAGAATAATTTGAGGGCAAGACCTGCCTTTCAGGCGGCAACAATCTATTGTATCACTGCACATGTAACATCTAACCTTAGCTGCAGCCTATTTAAAAGCTGAAATACCTTAGCTTCCCAACACAGGGATTCAGGAAACCTGATGCAGGCATTCAAGTTTCTTTAGACAAAAGATATGGTCCTTGCCCAGAGCACCTTAACTCCTACCTTTCCTAGAGCTTAGGCTACAAAATGGCCCAGCAGTGACAGCACTTACCCCAAACACAAAGAACTCAAGCCCAGCGTCACCGAGAAGGTTCAAACCCACACCCCCCAGTCCCTGGAGAAGAGCTCTTATCACTTGGCTTGGTACTAAAGGAGAACGTTCACTTTTTCTCTAGAAGTTAGGCAGGAGGAGAAGAAAAAGAAATAAAGACTCACAGGGCACAGGAAAAACACAAAACTGGGAAGGCTGTGCAATTCGGCTGCCACCCCATTGAGTGTAGTGTTAGTTTCTAGCCCTAGCAGTCAGGACCATGTATGCGGTTTTTTTCATAGACCTGTAATGGGATAAAAAATTGAAAGAACGGATTGGAAAAGAAGCCAAACCGTAGAACTTCCTCCTCCCAACTCTAACAGCTAGGCTGTTGCCTACCCCCTCCCAGGAACCTGCCGTCCTTTACCTGGCTTTCAAACTCGCCAGCAGCCAGGTTACGTGGTCCCAAACCCCCTCAGGCTGAACCCAGCAATTCTGCTTTCTGAATTCATGCTCTCATCAGCGGGCCAAGCCATGTCTTAAGAGTCCGCTGCAAGTTACGAGTGCACACAGCTACACTTGAGGTGAGCCCCAAGCTGGCCTTCCTGGTGAACCTCTGCCAACTGCTGGACCCCGTTCAAGCTTGGAGATGAACTGGAGGCTGAAACGCACAAGCTGCAGGTTCACCGACTGCTGTTTCACAATTGGCTCACGCTGCCCTTTGCCAGTGCAGCTTCCCATTGGTCCCACCAACTTCTCCACCTCCAGTCTCTCCTTCCCTCTCTCCTCCTGTGTGTGCCAAGGGTTGTGCAGTCACTTGGATCAGGAAGACAGTAATGCTGGAAAGCTAACACTACAAGAGTAACCAACCCAGTAAAGTGAAAATATAAATATATATGCACATATAAAGGAAATACTTTTCTGCCAGCTTAGTGAGCTAAACTAACTCACTCAGGGATGAAGTGATCGCCACAGAGAGTACAAGGGAAGCAGCAGAAGCAGGCAGGCAGAGAGGGTGAAAAGAGCTTGGTTATGCTGCAGCAAACTGCTCATCACACCAGCTGTCCTGTGCACTGCACCCTCAGATCATCTTGACTGATCGAGAGACCATAACGCAATCGGTGGCAAACACTGCTGCACAATTTACCTTCTCACCCAACTGCTCATTCCTACCTCTTGCTCCAGCCTGTTTATGGTCACAGGGTGAGTTTGATCAGAGAATCAAATGAGGGCTGGGGAGGGGAAGAGATCCGTGTCTCTCTCCATGTTTTTTTCCTGTGTGGATCAGTTTCCAGAGGGAATTCACCATGCCAATTGTGCAGCGGCTCTGCTGGTGCAACGGAAGGTACAAAACCAAACAGCCATGGCACCTAAACCGGCAAAATGGCCAAATGCAATGACAGAAGTGCAAGCTTAGGCTAGGGCAGCATTAGGCTCATCCTGAAGGAAAACAATGTGGCCTTAGAGAACCTTTAATTTCCTCAGGTTTCAATACCATGAACAGTTGCTTAAGGAGTTTGGAGGCCTCCAGAATCAGGTAGCAATTACGATTTTCAGTTATAGCTTTGAGTTTAAATAAGCTTCTTTTGCTCATGTGTTTTATTTAGGACTAATTCCTGGCTCTTACCTGGCTATATAGAGTGGTGTATCAGATTGCTTTATAAAACAAAATAAAACAAGAAAATCATTATTATCTGTGTGTGCACCCCTGCAGAAATCCAAGCATCACAGTGAAGGCCTGAATCAGAGCTGAGAATAAAACATACATCTTTCATAGCCTGAATTGAGGCTCTGCAAGAGCAACTTGCCTCCTGGTGTGATCCTCCAAATGACTGGATTGTGCGTTTCCTAGGCAAAACATTACCTCAATTTTGGCTGCTAAAAATAAATAGGATCATAAAGTTTTACAACCACCCTCAAAGTACTATATTTTGACACTTCAAAACTCTGTGTAGGAAGCTGGAAGTGCTCAGTGTCTTTCACCATTGATGTCTCAGAAGCTCCTAGGTGAGAACAAGAATGAAGGGGGGGGGGGGG